CCTACCAAGGCCAAGTGAATGTTTCCGTACTAAGTGGGGACAGTTCACGCCACATTACTATGGCGGAACTTCCCCCACACCGCAGGCATAACACGCACTGCAAATGAGGCCATTGAATTTCGCACGCTTCGTTGTACAAAAGCTACATATTGAGGGGTTACGCGGTATACAGCTGGAGAAGAAGGAGCTGTTGTACTCCTTCGCAATGAGGACGGAGACGCCAAAACACTCCATAAAGATCTGGCGACGGCGATGGCGAGCTACAGCTAGGGACTTTGGGTTTGGCGTGTAATGCCACTATTTAATATCTGAGCTTTCATCTGTAGATTACACTCCACTTACATCGATGGAAGAAGTTGGTTTGCATGCTGAAGCCCCACTCGCCTGTCGGGGTCTGTTGCTGGAGAGCAGCGGGGGAGGGGCAAGCGTATACGCTTGTCTTGTACTTATCGGATTCCCAAGTGTGTCCTTGAAATATATAAAAAAAAATCGACATAGACAGAAAGAGAGAAGCGCAGCTACAGATCTGTCCTGTTGTCGGCAGCGGAAGGCGGGCGGGACCTCCGCGAGAGATCATCAGCCTTCTGCCCCGTGACACCGTTTACTCCAGTCCTTAAGCTTTTCAATAAAGAAACACAAACGTCAATTAAAGTATACGAACAGAGGAAAGAAATGAGGCCACCAGGTTCCATTCTGCGCCCGTGTCGGTGCAGGTGACCTCAATCCAGTGTGCTGCATAGAGGGCAGCCCGGGAGGCAGCAGCAGCAACAGGATCTCTGCTAGTGTTTATATCGCGAGCTCAGCTGCAGCAGTATTCGCTGCTGCTGTGCAGGCCTAAGGAGAGGCGGGACGCAAGGCTGCCCACACCTTGCTCTGCGTAGAAACGACCGGATAGGCACAGTGCTGGGTAGCCCGTCTGTCTTCTATTGACAGCCTCTGTTGGTGTTTCTCGCCACAGTGCTGAAGATGACTGACACAGAGGGCAGATGCTCTCAGCATCGCATGCAACGGGGGCTGTTCCATATGGACGCCAGACCGTCTGGGGCCCTAGGGGACTCGAGGCTTGGCTCACGAGGAAGTCTATGGTCTCAGGCATCAGCTGAAAGCCATGAAGCCACAGACCAGCTGCCGTTGCAGCGACATAACAGCGGCAACAGCTGCAGCAGCAACAGCAACTGGGTCGTTTCTGCGGATGCTCCTCCGAGCCGCAGCGGATCGCTGCTGTTGCAGGTAGACCAGGTTCTTGAAACTTTACCCAAAGGAATGGAAGAAGAATTTTTGCTGCCTCAAAGATGTCTTGGGGACAAAGCCTGCCCGGCGATTGCGAAGCATCTTTTCAGGTGTATGGGCCTGCGCTCTGTGGACCTTTCGGTCTGTACACTCGACACAGAGAGTCCTCAGCACAGTAGTACTAGTTGCAGCTCACTTACTTAAAACTATTAAAATAATTTAGCATCAGTACAGAAAGGAGCAGCACAGAGAAGTGTATAGTCTGTAGTTGCTGCTGCTGCTACTGCAGCAAGCAATCCGTGCAGCAGCGCTCTTTCTGTTGCTGCTCTGCCTAGGCAAACAACATATCCCCAAGGGGCTTCAGTGAAATAGCTGCTGCAATCGCGAACCTTAAGCATCTGCAGCAGCTGAGGCTTGACTGGAATCCTATAGGCTCTGGTACGTACACACCGCACGCATATTTCCTTATAAGTGTTGCAGCGGCAGCAACAGCAGCAACCGCGTGAAAGCTTGTAGCAAGGGTACAGCCGGTTCCTCCATCTGCTTTTGTTGCTGCTGCTGCTGCTGCAGAAGCGGACAGCGCCAGTCCCCCGGCGGTACAGGTGCTGTGCGACAGTATAGCTGGGCTGAAGGCGTTGGCGTTGCTGTCTCTAGTACATTGTCAGTTGGGGCCTCGGGCTGCTGATGCGCTCAGTGGCATCATACTACAGAACAGGTGCTTGTTCTGTTTCGTTCCTGCTGCTGCAACTTCTTCCTCTGCTGCTGCCTCAGCAGCTGCGGCTGCTGCTGTTTGCGGCGCTGCGCTGCAGTGAGGTGGTGATCGTGCCGCAGCTTAGTGTGGTTCTTTCCAGGGCGTTTGGGGTGTATGTACAGCAAAAGTTTACGAGAAATACACCTCAGGAACAACGCAATTGGGGAGGAGGGAGCAGCCCAGCTCTGTACTGCACTGAAAACCAACAGAAACCTCACCGCCCTTGACCTGACGGGTGAGCCAGCGTTGTGTTTGTATTGACATGTATTTCATCCTCTACAGAGAAAGCTGAAATACTATACTATACGCTGTTTTGGGGTTTAGTTTAGGGGGCAATGCATCTGAACGCAGGGGGCCGGTATACTGGCTTTGTTCAGCTGAACATACACCATATTCCACCCCTCTGTGCTGCCACTGTTTCTCTTCACATATATGTTTGTATACACATAAACCTACACGCATGTGTACGTATATGTATAGATATGTGTATGCTTATGTATGTATGTAGATGTGTGTAGGGCTAGACCCACCCATCCCCACGAACACTTGTATCTATGCGCATGCATACATACACATATCTATGTACATGCATGCGTGCATGCATGCGCATGCATGCGAAGGCAGTGTCGAGGGTCATCTGGGGCTTTCTGGTACCTGCAGGCAATGGGGCGAGGCCCTCGACGCTCCGCGAGGTCTCTAGGTGCTGCGCTGACAACAGCAAGATGCTGGAGCTGCTGCCGCCGCAGCAGGAGGAAGCACTTGGGCTGCAGCACAGCAGCAGCTTGCAGCAGCGGCAGCAGCACCAACAGCAGCAGCACCAGCAGCAACAGCAAAAGCAGCAGCAACAAGTCGATGACTATGTGACTCGAATTGAAGCTGAGCTGAAGAGCACAGAGCAGGTGAGGTGCAGCTGCTGCAGGCTCCAGTGTCCGCGCCAGACTGCAGCACAGCTGCTGCTTGCACTGCTCCGGTTGCTTCTGCTGCTGTTGCTGCTGCTGCTGCTGCTGCTGCTGCTGCAGCAAAGCGCTCGACTGCTGCGGCGCCTTGAGTCAGACTTGGCCTCTTCTGCTCAACGACACAACGAGACAAAGAGAGAAAATATGCTCCTCAAGCAGCGCATCTGTGAACTGCAAGGGGCCACAGTAAAGTGTCAGTGAACTCCTCCCTACAACTCCATAGTGTACAGCTTGAGGCCTAGGGTTTAGGGTTTAGGGTTTAGGGTTTAGGGTTTAGGGTTTAGGGTTTAGGGGTAACGGGTTTTTCTGCTGCAGCAAACTTGATGCAAGATGAACGCCGAGAGCTGCTCAAAGAAAACGCCTTTTTAAAGGTCAGTGCTCTGCACAACAAACATATGACAGCTACAGCCCAGCTAGCTGTACCCAGCTAGCTGTACCCAGCTAGCTGTAGCTAGCTAGCTGTAGCTAGCTAGCTGTACCCAGCTAGCTGTACCCAGCTAGCTGTACCCAGCTAGCTGTACCCAGCTAGCTGTACCCAGCTAGCTACACTGAGGTTGCTGCAGCCAGCTAGCTGAGTGCAGGCGAACAAAGCAGGACCTAGCAGCTACCTAGCAGCTAGCTAGCAGCTAGCCAGACACTTCAGCAAGAGTAAGCTGCTTAGGCTGCTGCCGGAGCCAGAGAGAGTGTCGGCGCAGGGGAGCCTGGAGGAGAGGTACAGAGAGCTGTGTGAATCCCGCATCATGGCACAGCAGCAGAAGCTGCAGCTGCAGCAGCAGCAGCAGCAGCAACAGCAGCACCAGCAGCAGCAAGCCATGCTGCAGAGGCAGCTCCACGACAAGCAGGACACCAACGAGAAGCTCCTCAGCGATCTTCAGGTCAGCTAGCCAGGGCGCAAAGCTATCTAGCTAGCTGGCTATCTAGCTAGCTAGCTAGCTAGCGCCAAGCCCTAGGGTCTAAGCTACAAACTTCTTAGCTGGATGATGTGCTGCTGGTCAGTGCGGCGTTCGCTGCTGTCTTTGGGTTTTATTA